GCCCCTGGTCCCCGGTCGGGCAGGGCAGGGCGGCGGCTTAGCGCGGCGGGGAGACAATGGGAGCCGTGGCCCCAGTGTAGCGCACCCCCCGGGGCCATGCGGGCGGCTCCCCGCCGCCATGGACCTGCTGCCCCGCACCAAGTACAGCCACCTGCGGGAGTCTGCGTCCTTGTCCTCGCTGGACGAGGTGCCTGGCTCCTCTGCCTCGCCCGGCTCCGGCTCCTCTGACTCCCCATCCTCAGCACCCCCCAGCCCTGCGCACCCGGCTGATCTCTCCTCCGGCTCTGAGGACTCGCCCACCACTCTCTGCTCCTTCTTTCCTAAAATGGCCAACCTGAAGCTGGCCAACCCTGCCAGCCTTCTCAGCCTGCGTGGCTTCTCCGCCAGCCCCCTCCGGGATGAGGCGCCTGCCGAGCCCCTGGCCCCCGCGGGCACCAGCATGGGCTCAGTGGGGCCTCTTGCCCTCTGTCCCCAGGATATGAACAAGCTGAGCTGCGGCAAGAAGACGCGGGTGGAAGGTGGCCAGCTGGGGGGTGACGAATGGACCCGGCACGGCAGCTTCGTCAATAAGCCTACCCGCGGGTGGCTGCACCCCGACGACAAGGTCATGGGCCCCGGCGTCTCCTACCTCGTCAGGGTGAGTGTAGGCACGGAAGGGTTGGGGCGCGTGCCCTGCCTGGTAAGGGCATCATCCTGGTGCACCAGCATCGCTGCCATGCTCCTGAGAGCCCAGCATGAGCCCCCGGCTGTGCCTCTTCCATGCTTAGCCCTTGCTGTGCTGTACCCCCAGCTTGCCATGGGGATCCCCAGCCTGAGGGTGTTCCCAGGAGGCTGGGGTTGGAGTCCCCCATAGGGCAGCTCTGCACCGGGGGTGGGGGGAGCCTAGCTAGCTGGTTAACCCCATGCCCAGCCCTCTCTCTGCGCCCTTGCTCCTGTCCCGGCTGTGCTGGACGGCATTGGTGCTGGCGGGGCAGCCCAGGGAGGGAGGAACTTGCAGGTTTCCGGTGCCCCAGCCTGTTGCATGGCCCTGCTGCTCCCTGAGCCCAGCTGAGCTAGAGCTTCCTCCCCAGGGGCATGAGCTGCCCTCCAGCTGCCAGTTACTCCGCAGGTTTTCTTCCCTTTCCTTGCAAGTTTGGGACAACACCTCCCCTGCCCCAGGTCTCACTGTGCTGGCACTGTGCACGCCCCCGCTGGGTGGGGTGCATGGGATGCTGCAGGGGTGGGGCCAGCCAGGACACAGGGTCCATGTCCCCCTTGCTCAGCATTCCCGTGCAATCTGATGCACTACCCAGGGGTGAGGGCACCTCGTACCCGGGAGCCAGAGCCTGGCAGGCTGCTCTGGACCTGCTGAGCAGGAGTAGGAGGAGGCAGGGAGGAGCCTTGAAAGCCCCAGATGGGCAGGGGGGCTGGTGTTGTCCTGGTCCCTTTGACCTGTGGGGGTAGCA